TGGCATGAGATGTTAGCACAGGGCTGATCTTCCTCACCAAAAAAAAAAATATATATATGACTGAAGTTCTATAAATTTCTGTTCATTCATTTATTTAATTGTTAATGAATATTTTCTATTAGTAGGGTGCTAAAAATGATCTTGTAGACGAAGCCAGAGAAAGCTACAAAAACTTGTAGAAAATTTTAGGAAAATCAATCAGTTTTCAAAGATGTCATACTACTTCAAACAATAGTTTAGAAAGGAATCATACTGTTATTTGCTATTGTTTAAGTTAATTTTAAGTCTTAGGAAAGTATGAAACTTTTAAGTGATTAATAATAAAAGATATTTTGGGGCCGGCCCAGTGGCACAGCAGTTAAGTTCACGTGCTCCACTTTGGGGGTCTGGGGTTCGCTGGTTCGGATCCGGGGCACGGACCGATGCACTGCTCATCAAGCCATGCTGAGGCGGCGTCCCACATAGAGCAAGTAGAAGAATGTACAACTATGACATACAACTATCTACTGGGGCTTTGGGGAGAAAAAAGGAAAAAAGAGGAAGATTGGCAATAGATGTTTAGCTCAGGGCCAATCTTCCTCAAAAAAAAAAATAATAATAAAAGATATTTTAAAAATGAAAATATTAGGTTCACAAATAACTATGAGTACAATCCAGTATGCTCACTAGATAGGTCACAGCAGATGTGGACTCACGGAGGTCTGTGTACTGACTAAGAGTCGCAGGGGCAGAGCATGGACTCGGGCCCCGTCTTGGCCACGGCCACACGGCGTTCCTCTGCCTCCCGTGGCTCCACAGTGCAAACGCAAGTCATGCCAGTTCCCTCTGCCGCTCCTGCTGCCCAACCTCCGTCACTTCAGAAAAACAACCAAAGCCAACAGACAAATCAAAACCTGAGCTCCACGAAAACAAGAAAACCTAGTAGAGGTGTTTTCAGCAGGACGGCAAGTTTTGTGTAATTTAAATCGTATGAAAAGCTCACACCCACAGTAAAACACTGCATTTACAGCAAAGTTCGCATTTCCCTGAAAATGGAAAGATTCTAGAAAATAATTGGCCTAGAAACCCTATTAAAGTGTGGGAGGGGACCAGGCTGATTGAGAGTCAGTAATAAGCAGAGAACGACACTGGCAAATGGTCGTTTTGTGGCTGTATAAATGAAGCCAGGGCCCCGAGCGCTCTGTCAATCACTCTGTGCACAGGGGCTCCTCTTCTCGGCCTTCGTTCAACCACCAAGGAAAAGTGAATGCTTTCAGGAGACTTTAGGTTCGATTCAACAAGTAATTATGATGTGTCTACTATGCACAGATACGAGTAATCAGCAAGACACCTTGTCCTCCTGCTCAGGGTCGAGGGCCTCAGGGTGACGGTCTCTGTCTTTCTCCCAGCTCTGGGTGCTGCATTTCGTGCGGTTTAATTGTGGCTGTCCTATGCTCATGTCCAAGTAGTCAGTCATATAACGGGAAATTCAACTGAGGGCATCTGGCCCTTTTAACCATTCCTAGTCTGCAGGTCACACACCGAAGAAGTGGGGGTGGGGATGGATGGAAATGAGGGAGATACATTTGAACGGAACGAACAAGGCAAAGTAGGGCAAGAGGCATAGCAGAGATATAAACATTACAGAGCATCCTGGGAAAGTTGCCTCCTTACTAGCTAGGTGACCTCAGTGAAATAGATGAACATCTCTGCATCTTAATTTCCTCATCTATAAAATATGGGTAATAATCCTTACAACAGATAGGAGAAGATTCTGATAGAAAACAATAACAACAGAAGTTTTACTTCTTTTTCTGGAAAAGAGAATATGGAGAGTAGACTGGTAAGGGTCCCCCCACCCCCCAAATCATTCAGGGCCCATGTCTTTCCAGCTCATTACTTGGCCATCTTTAGGGTGTGACTTGTGACCTTATGATCCACAACGGCTGCTAGAGCTCCAGTCATCACATCTAAGTTCTGGGCAGCAGGAAGGAAAAAAAGGTATACAACCTCCCTTGCTATAAGTCCCACAGTAATTCAGCTTATATTTCATTGGCCAGCACTTAAATGGGTGGCCACACCTAGCTACAAGGGAAGCTGGGAAATGTGGCCTTTTAGCTACACAGCACTAGGTCCAGTTAAAAATTGGGATTCTGTTAATAGTCTTAGAGCATGCAGGGCTTCAGAGACTCAGCTCTGTTCTAATCTTGACTGCATCCTCCCTTTCCCCTAATCCCACCTGCTTACTATCACTTCATACTGTCTACATGCCACCTTCTCAGTCACTACCTCTTAATTATCCATCACATCAGTCATTCTGATGACTCGACTTCTGAACCCCCTTTTCATGATAATATATAATCTCATGAAATTAGCATTTTTTTTTTTTTTTACCATTTAGCCATTTATGTCATTATGGTATATTATAAAGCAACAGTTTGAAGTAAAATCATCACATTTCAGATCATTATAAAATTAAAGTTCATAAAGTTGATTTGATGGCATCTCTATTCAAAATTAATATGTAAAAATAAATGTTGAGTTTTACTCATATAATAAGAGGGAAAATGCTACTTAACTTACTTTACAGTAATTAGGCAAAATGCAATACTTCTCAAATAAATTTTTAAATGACAACAGAGATCATGCTTGCTGGGAACTGAATATCTGTTAGCTCTGAGGGACAGTACCAAAAATAGGAAAAAAACCTGCTTTCCACGAGCTGATGTTTAAATTATGCTGCTCTTAAAAAAAAGAAATCAATGTATATGTCATTTCTACCTGGTCACAAAGAGGGTTTTAGCCTACTGCCCATAAGCACATCACTGCAAATAATGTATCATATGCACATGGCTAATAAACAGAGTCCAAACTGGACACAACAGTCACTCTCAGACTCTCCATGTTCACGTCCTCATTGCCTCTCCAGCTGCTTAACCTGTCTGTACCTCACCCTCCTCATCTGTCCCTTTTAGACGACCATCCCAGGGCAGACCAGTTTGGGCCCAGAATCGTATGGGAAGCACAGAAGAAGACTGCAAAGACTAGGAAAGCTCAAAGAAGGAAAATCACGAGGACTGACAAGATCAGAACGCAGACGGTTCCCCCATCATACAAACCAATTCCTCAGTTGTGAGACCATCGGGTCCTTGAGCACAGGCACTGTGCTGGACCCCTAAAGTGAATGAATGAATGAATGACAGATATTAAACCCTTTTCATGTACTCATTTCTGAATAAATACGTATTACATATATATAAAACAAATGGCATTTATTCATCCATGAATATGTGTCTGATCTTGGGTACGTGTTAAATTGATACTGTATTTGATTATAACGTGCACATCTCTGATATGTGTTAAATAGAGACTGTATTTGATTATAGAGACTGTATTTGATTATAAAGTGCACATCTCTGGTATGTATTAAATAAAGACTGTATTTGATTATAAAGTGCATATCTGTGGTATGTGTTAGATACTGTATTTGATTATAACGTGCACATCTCTGGTATGTATTAAATAGATACTGTATTTGATTATAAAGGGCATATTTGTGTTATGTGTTAGTGTATTTGATTGTAAAATGCACATCTCTGGTATGTATTAAAAAGAGACTGCATTTGATTATAAAGTGCATATCTGTAGTATGTGTTAAATAGATACTGTATTTGATTATAATGTGCATATCTGTGGTATGTGTTAAATAGATACTGTATTTGATTATAACGTGCACATCTCTGGTATGTATTAAATACTGTATTTGATTATAATGTGCTCATCTGTAGTGTGTGTTCAATAGAGACTGTATTTGATTATAAAGTACATATCTGTGGTATGTGTTAAGTAGATACTGTATTTGATCATAGAATGCATATCTGTGGTATGTGTTTTATAGAGACTGTATTTGATTATCAAGTGCATATCTGTAGTATGTGTTAGATATTGCATTTGATTATAAAGTGCATATCTGTGTATGTGTTAGATACTGTATTTGATTATAAAATGCATATCTCTGGTATGTATTAAACAGAGACTGTCTTTGACTATAAAGTGCGTGCAGGTGTAGAGGAGCGGCTAGGGTAGGGTGGTGAACGTTTTGTACACACGTAGTGCAGCATGGAGAAGGGATGTGGCTGAAATGTCCCTGGGCAGTGCTGAGAGCAGACTGCAGGTGGATGCTTGCCTCTAAAGGTCTCTAAAAGAGCTGGCCTCCTGCCTTGAGTGCCAGCCCCAGGTGAAGAGAGCTCTCCTGGAAGGAAAGCTGTTTCTTCCCCTCCTTGACAAACATCCCAGTAAGCGGAGGCCCTGGGAGAAGAGGGGCTTGTTGCCCAGCAGGGGGTCCCTGGGGGTGGCACGGAATGAAGTGGTCTGGCTTTGTTTGGGGGGGCAGGGGTGCAGCACCCCAATGCCTTCTCCCACCCTGACAGTGCACTTCTGCTGCTAGCTGTTTACAGAGGGGCTGTGAAGAAGACTTTATTAGGGAAAAAAAAAAGTCTTTACTCCTTTAAAAAAAAAAAGATAAAGGAGCCGGCCCGGTGGAGCAAACGGCTGAGTGCCTGCGCTCCGCTGCGGTGGCCCCGGGGTCCGTTGGTTCAGATCCTGGGCGCGCACCGACGCACCGCTTGTCAAGCCACGCTGTGGTGGCGTCCCATATAACGTAGAGGAAGATGGGCACAGATGTTAGCCCAGGGCCAGTCTTCCTCAGCAAAAAGAGGAGGATTGGCAGATGTTAGCTCAGGGCTACTCTTCGTCACAAAAAAAAAAAAAACAAAAAAGATAGTTTTTTAGGCAGATGAAAAAAGGAGCATCCCAGTCAATCATTCTCAACTGTGAGATCTTGACAATGACGTACCACAGCTCCCGTACTTGATTTTTTCTAAGCGGAAACAAAACCATTTATGAAAAGAAAACGATATAAACTGATTGGGAGCCACCAGAATAATTATAAAAGTGGATCTTGCAAAGGAAATGTATGACAATAGGAATTACTGGTAATTCCTCAGTGAGAGCAACGTTACCTGCCCTTTGTACTCCACTGGTTTCAGTCCTGCGTAAATGGGCACGAAGCTGCTGGCTAAGAGAACCTAGATGGGTAAAAGAAAGACACAGCTCAGGAACACAGGAATTAATGCTTGTACAACAGGTTTGATATGCTATTTACTATAAAATATTAAATTTTTCTAGAAAATAAGAAAATGTATTATGAAAAATTAAGTTCCATATATTTCAAGTGCACCATGGGACACACTTAAATAGAAGATAACATTTTTAATATCTGAAAAGACCCTAAAGAGATATGTACAATGCAATGTTCTCTGTCTCAGTGGACTTCACCTGAGTAAAATCAGCATTTTAATCATAGACAGCAAGTCATTATGAAATTAAAGCCCAGGTAAGTCTAAATTCTGGAGTATGTACAGTGTGCAAATAAATTATTTACAATGTTCTATCATACACTGTAAAAACCATTTTAAAGTTGCACTCGTATTTTCCAGAAGAACAAACCCCTCTGGTTGTTACAGAGGAGATTAGCCTGCAGCTCGGGGATGTTCTAATTTATGTCACCAGGATGTCACTAAGGGAGCAACACATTTTATGTGCTAGCAACATGGTCTGGATATATAATGAGACAGTGGCAGGTAGAGACACCAATTATACTTTATCTTCCATTTAAAGAGTTGAAAAAGATTGCCATTTAAAATATGACCATTTCTTCCAACAGAAGAAGTTGGGTTCTGGGAGCTTTTCCGACATGTACATGTTTTATTTTGCAGTGTAGTTTCTGACTTGCTAGTCTTTATTTGGAAAGATACAGCATTAGATACTGAATATTTAAGCTACAATCTTTCAACCGATAAGCGAAGACTCTATGGCTGTTTGTTGTCAAAGATTTCATGAAATTTCCTTTTTTGGCATATATTATTCAGAAATGGATTTTGGCCCAAAAACTGGTTTGTAAATCATCCATTTAGAATTATTTAGAACTCAGAGGGCATTTTCCCCGAAGAAACTATACCACAGGTAGAATTTCTAAGGTTAGCTCTCAAAGGCCAATTTATTCTGAACTGCGACTAAATGATAGACCCAGTCAACAGCAAAACACGATTTCAGAGGAAGAATCCTCTCGAGTTGCAACTGGATGTGGCTGGAAGCCATGGAAGCAGGATGTACCTGGGACCGGCAAAGGCTTTCCTATGCAGTGGTTCCTACTCTAACACACGTCTCCTGGCTCCTCACTGCCAAAAAGCCCGCTGCAGGGAAGGCGTCTGCATCTTCGTCACAGAGTTGAGACCCAGCAAATACCTGCTGGTGTCTCTCCCTTCTCCGAGGTAGGAATGAAGGTGTCCTACGCTTCTCCCCACTCTCAATTGTGGGAGAAACAAGGATTCTCCCATGTTGGTGGTGGCATGTTGGGTGCAAGGGAGAGGTCCTGACTGTAACAGCTCCCACAGCAATGGGCTCCTGACAGCTGGCCCAGAAGTATCTGGGGCATCAGATTTGGGTAGCGGCGAATTCATTGGTGTAAGAGCACCACACAGGGACTCCAGAGGGAAAGAAGGAAGGAAGTGACATGTGTTATGTGTCTCTGTTGTGCCAGGCTGGTGCTTAGTGCCAGAACCAGGTACATAATTTGCGGGCCCACACTGAAATGAAAATGCAGGTATTAAGAACTGCAAGAGGTCGACAGTGGAGCATTAAACCAGGGTACAATGACAATCTTGCACAAGATCTTTCAGAAGAAGAGGCAAAGCAGACATACCCCTACTAAGGCATTCACCTCAAAATCTCTGCTTTCAAATGTGCGGCATGACAGAACGGCGTGCCATTATGTTAACCACACCCATTCCATGAGGCAAAGCAAGAGCATCATCTAGGGTGATTTGGGGAAGATCACTTCAATCAGTAGGCAGACAGGAGAGAAACCAAGCCTACTCAAGCCCAGCCTTCTGGGCTCCCGGTAGCGGTGACAACATCGGCAGACGGGTGTTGGTCAGAGAAGGGCTGTTTACAGTTATGGTCACTGCATTCACCCTCACTAAATTTGGCCCCACCATCAATTGGCTACTCCTTTAAAAAAAACAATTACAGACCCTAGGTATGTTTTGCCAGCACAATGTAGCTATTTAATGAAGTTATTTGGCAAAATGCAACATTGCACCACGGTAGCAATAACTGCAACAATTTGTGGATAGTGCACATATTGGGAAATTACAGTACTTAGAGGTCTTTAAAGAACCAAAGGCACTCTATAAATACAACGATTTATTTCACTATGCTGGATAGACATATGGGCCCTGCAAAAAAAACATCACTACCCTTAGAGCCAGAATTATGTTTTTTTTTTTTTTTCGCCTGTGTCAAAGTATAATGTAAAGTTCATGAGTTAATGCCTGGATCTCTTTTGAGGTGTTTGGATGAAAAATGCTATCCAATTACTTTGCTACAGATAATAACAGTAAGAATCCTCCTAAATGATATGAGGAGTGCAGTGAACTGGAAAATACCTGTCACTCCTCCAAATCAATGTATTTGTTCTGTCATAGCCGACTCTCCCTTTCTACGGGCTGGTGATTTGTACATCAAACTAAATTTAGTGGGAAAATTAGCTTTTGATAGTTAAGAACTAAGCAGCTTTTCTTATTTGTAGGCAGCTTATTGCCATTTTATTGCAAGCAAATAGGATTTTCTAAGGAAGGAGACAAAGACTGACATTCCAAGGCTACAAAATAAAATATTATGCCTAAATTTGTGCTTTTACTGTATCTGACCTCATTGTTTTCCCAGTGAAACATTTCTCACCAATAAATCTCAATAAGTCTGGAGCAGAGGTTCTCAATGTTCCCAGGGGTGTCTTAGTCCCCTGGGGACATTTAGCAATGTCTGGAGACGGTTTTGATTGTCACACTGTGTCTGGGGGGATGGTCCTACTGGCATCTATTGAGTAGAGCCCAGGGATGCTTCTAAACACCCTATAATGCCCAGGATGGCCCCCACCACAAACAAATATCGGATGCCCAGTGTCAACAGCAGCCCAGTGGTGAGCACTAAGGCAGAAATCAGGGACCTTCTGTTCACGCTCCATTACTTGGCCCAGCACCTTAAGCGTTACACGTAGGTTAAACCACTGATTTGGTTTTTGTTTCATTCTTACTAAATACACAATGATAAAAATAAAAGTCAGTGACTTCTTGTAGCAACCCGTATAAAACATTGCCAAGTGCATATTCAATACACGTTCTGACTAGCTCTTTTCATTTTACATTTTATAGAAAATTTAGAAAATTATGTGGCCTGGGTTCCTTAGAGAATAAATTCTCAACAAGTTTCATTTATGTCTAAAGTTTACTGTGGAGTGTAATGAGAATCTGGCTGTTTATTCAGAACCTGCTGGTGCAGTTGAAATTCAAAGACAGATTCAAATTTATCTTCCTCCGTCTTCCCAAGATAATGACCACTCTTAAATTCAGTCCTTATGTCACCTTCCCACGGCTAAACGTGAGCTCTTGCTGTAAGAGCATTCTGGCTGTGTGCAAGGCAATTTAGGACATCGTGGCAATGGAGACAAGGTGGTTCTCCCCAAGAGGGACAAGGTTCCGCATGAAAGCCTTTCTAGGCACATATATTAAAGAGCATTCATGTACATCAAAACACTGTTTCAGACCACATATGTGCGTCAGTTTTAAACACGAAGAATTCAATGAATTGTACTAATTCAGACAAGTGGTGGAACACCACCACTCCGTGGCACGGTTAATTTCAAAATCAGTTCTGCTCATCTGTGGAGGTTACATATGACTTTCTTTTACACAAAGGATTTACCTCCCTAATTACGCTTTGCTGAAGGTTACTATTAAAATGTGCTTAGATTTCCTGATTGCAGGTTTCCTTCTGAAGAAAAATAGCCCAGAATAAACTCTGGCACTCGAAGGAGTTGATCTGCAAAATGTATACACTTGGTCGTTCAGGGGATAATGTGTAGAGAGGCCCAAAAGTAAAGGAATCGTGAAGTACCCATGATAAACATGAAGGGTGTGAACAGATGAGAGTCAGGAGAGCAAGGAGCCCTGAAGGTCAGCAGGTATACTTGGTAAGTGCTCAAGAGCTGATGAAGCACTTCCATACATATTATTTCACTTGATCTTCGTAGCAATGTGTGGGGTAGTGGGGACAGTGTGGATTCTATCCTATGGATGAAGAAACTAAGGCAATGAAAAGTTGAGACTTGCCAAGGATCCCAGAGTCCATCAAAGACAAGGGCTAGGCTTTTCCATCCCCAAAGTACCATATCCCTTTGCACAAACTGACCTCTCATTGGTGTTGATCTGCTGAAAAAAATGGGCCTGCAGACACAAATGATCGATGGATTTGATCCTGTGTGGAAGTATTTTTATACATCCCCCCAACCCCCAAAAAGGGTGTGGCATCCAAAATGAATCTCTCTGGTTGATGGGAAATAAAGGTGCGATATTTGGAGGAGGGAGTCTCCTGGGGCTCTGGTTCAACTATATAAAGGGATCTCCCCTCTGTAGGTCATCTCATTGTGTGGCAGCAGACACCACCATGCGTTTCCCTATCTCAGCGCAGTCACTACTGGGGAGGAGGGGAGTGGTCGGCACAAATACATTCTGGGCAAAGTAATACCTGAAGACCACATGTCTGTCTTATAACGGTATATAGAGAATGGAAAAAACTGAGGGTCTTAATCAATTCACGTGGCTATAACAAAATACCATAAACTGGGTGACTTAACAACAGATTTATTTCTCACTGTTCTGGAGACTGGGAAGTCCAAGATCAAGGTGCCAGCATACCCCGTGTTTGGTAAGAGTCTGATTCCTGGTTGACAGACAGTGGTCTTCTCACTGTGTCGTCACATGGTGGAAGGGGTAAGGGAGCTTGCTGGGGTCTCTTTTATAAGGGCACAAATCCCATTCATGAGGATTCTGCCCTCATGACCTAACCAACTCCCAAAGACCCCACCTCCAAATACCATCATAATGGTGTTTAGGATTTCAACACGAATTTTGGGGGGACACAAACATTCAGACCATAGCATTCTGCCCCTGGCTCTGTTACCGCACAA